CCCCCCCCCATGGGCGCCGCACACCCTCACAGCGGCTCCGCACACCCACACAGCGGATCCACACACCCACACAGCAGATCCGCACACCCACACAGCAGATCCGCACACCCTCACAGCAGCTCCGCACACCCACACAGCGGCTTCGCACACCCTCACAGCGGCTCCACACACCCTCACAGAGGCTCTGCCCAATTTCTTTCCTCACTGCTCCACAAACCAACTCCTTTTTAACTTCTATGAGTTTCTACAATTGTTTTGGGTCACAGTCACTTGAAGTGTCATTGCAATAACTATTTATTTGTGGCACCTTGCTGCCAGGGTGGCATCTTAGTACTCCAAATGTCCTTAGCATCTTGTGGCAGCTACAGAGCCTTAATATGCAGGGACTCTCAAAAGTTCATTGAAAAATGGAATTGAAGTACAAGTTTCTTTTGGTGCAAAAAAAGAAACCCACGCATAGCTTTTTCATAATACACATTTTCCATGAGCTCTTTGAAGATCCCTCTACAGTGACTTCCAGCTCTATAGAGCCCCAGAGGGGTGACCCAAGAGGAATGCTGTTGACAAATGCAGCTTATTGACTGGCATTGTCCCAGTCACATCCTCCCTGGGGGCCCAGGGAGGTCCATCATTGCCCTGAGGGCACATGGCCCCCATGTAGTGGCTCCTGAATTAGCAGGGGAGAATTGTCAAGGAGCAAGAGTGTCCCTGGCCAGCCCTTGGCACCTGGGCCCTCACTGGGCTGTGCTCACAACTATGGGGACCTGGGGGGGGAGGAGTGGCCCAGGCCACAGCCTTGCCGTTCACACCATCCAGAGCTCTAACAGGGGAGCAGACTCAGGTGGGAGGAGCCACAAAGAAAGCTCAGATCTAACCCAGAGAACAGAGCTCATGCCATGGGCGGTCAGAGAAGGGAGGCATCACTAGTCGGGGGACTTCTGGAGACGGGCCCCGTGTCTGCAGTCCTTTGGGGTCAGCAGGTCTCTGATGCTTTGCCCCTTGGTTATGCAGAAGCGCCATAGCCTTAGGAAGCACCCTGGTGCCATGGCGATGTCGTGGCGTGGGACAAGGTGGCGGGAACAGTGTGGACTAGCCAAGGCGGGCATGCTCTGCACAGCTAGCCGCTACCACAGAGAACGCGCAGCGTGGATGTGGGGGAGCTCAACTGCACCCCACAGGGACTAGCCCTGGCTGTGTGGGACAGGCCCAGCCTTGCTCCTGAGGCAGGCCTGAGGGACACTCCCCGTGGCCTCACACTTGGTGTCCAGGTGGCTCCTGAAGGGACCAAGATTGCTGGGTCACCTGGCAGGGGCCATCAGGGGCCAGCTGGCATAGCCCAAGGCATGACCACATGGCAGCATGCGAATCTACTTATGTGGCAAGTCAGATTAATTAAATTACTTTTCCCAATTTGTCATGACGGCTTTGCAAAGGTCCGTTTAACAGAAGCGTCTCAGTGTTTTCCAGACTAGGAGAACAAAGCATATTTAGGGACCAAGCGATGGCCTCAGTGTCCACTGGCTTTCCCGGCCGGAAATTCAGTCTTTCCACACTAAGTTCAGGGTTCTCGGAACCACGGGCTTCCACTTGCTGCAGGAATGTGTCCTCAGACGCATGCAGCCCTAACCCTAACCCTAACCCTAACCCTAACCCTATCCCTAACCCTAACCCTAACCGTAAACCTAACCCTAACCCTAACCCTAACCCTATCCCTAACCCTAACCCTAACCCTAACCCTAACCCTAACCCTAACCCTAACCCTAACCCACACTACCTCTTCATACCTCTTGTGCTGCTGGGCCTGCCGCTAATTTCAAACCAGCTCCGGTTATGACTTTGTAGGTCCAAGGTTAGGACCCTCCTGCTGAGCGGTGGCCAGAGACACTGGACCACAGACCCTTAGCCAGCATGGGTCTCTATGAGGAGAGACGAGGTCCATCTATACTCCTTTCAGTGTTTGGGGCTGAATCGGGGGTCCCCAAAGCCCACCCACAGGTCTGTGGCTGTCACATCAACCCAAGACTGTGTTAACCCTCTGCTATGGTTTGACAACGGCTTGGCCCCTGAACATTCATGTTTTGAAATACAGTCCCAGGGTAGTGGTGTTGGGCGGTGGTAAGAGTTAAGAGTTAAGTCTGGTGGGTGGTGATTGGATCGTAGCAGTATCACCTCACAGATGCATTAATGATGTCTCGTGAGACGGTGAGCTCTAGCTGGGTTAGTTCTCAGGAGAGTGGGTTGTTATATAAGGAAGACGTCTGTCTCTAGGTCTCTCTTGCATGTGGCCACCACTCTGCTTTGGTTGGCCATGTCCTGGTGTAGCTGGCCTCATGCCAGCCCCATACCATTGGACTATCCAGCCAGCAGATTCATGAGTCAAATAAATCCCTATTCTTAAACATGACCCAGGTCAGGTAGCTCCTGTTATTAACAATTGCATGGATGAGAACACCCTCCAAGAACCTACTCTTTCGAAGTTACAGCTCATGGGTCTAGACTCCCCTCCCTTTCTATTAATTCTCCTGTAGGAACCTAGAGCTCTCTCCTCTGCCGGACCAGAGTCATGCCACACTTCCATGTTTGAGCATCACTGGGGAGGGTGCGTGGTCAGGGCCCCTGACCTGTTCTCTTAGGAAACTCACCTAGCCCCAGGAAAGGCAGACGTGAGTGCACCCGAATGAATCACAGGTGGGCACCTGAATGACATCCAGATGGGCTCCTCGCTCCCAATGCAAAGGGAGCAATTAGAGGAAGGGGTTCCTAACTCTGCTCGCCCATGGATTCTACCCAACTCCAGCCCCAAATGCCCTGCTATATGGGACAGTCTGGCCTTCTCAAAGTGTCCAGTTCATATCATTGTTCCAAGTGGCCATGAGACAAAGCAGCTGTGGGTAGGGAGAGGGGTGTCCAGGACAGGGCAGCTGGACAGGAATCAGCTTCACCTTGAGCAGGGTCTGCAGAGTCCCTGACTTTGAGGCTGTCTGTTCCCAGGGGTCTCGGTCCTGGTTATGGTCACTCCAACCCATCTCCACCATGTCATTGACACTTTCTTCCTCACCCTTCCCTCCAACCACTTGGGAGGGTGCATAGAGCACCATCCGAAGGCTGTGGAGGCTGTGGCTGGCCGCGAGGAGGCAGCAGAAGGCGGGCTCCTGGCCCTCAGTGGCTCCGTCTGGCTGGGGAAACAGACTATCAGGCAGGAAGCAGTCTTGCCCTCAGCCCTTCCTGCCTGGTCCCACCCAACCCATGCCTTCTCCTATCCATGGCTAGAAGACTTGGGCTGCAAGGTCCAGGTTTTATCTGAATCTAAACCACTTCTCCCTCACCCCTCCTCCAGGCCTTCCCTTGCCCTATGGGGAGACTATGTTGCTTTTCTTCCTAAAGCTCTTTGGCCCCCTTCACATTAGAGCTCACTGGTTATTCCTCATCCACCTCATTCCATCCTGTAAAACCACCCCGCAATTTACCCATCGGTTCACTCTCTGGGGCAGCTGAGTCATCGAAGGCTCTCTGCCGGGCTGGCACTGTGTGCTCGTCTCCAGCTCATTAGAGAAGCGGTGGGTGGCTCTGTTGTTTACAGTTCCCCACCTGGAACTCGCATGAGCTCCTTGCTGTCTTTCTCAAGGCCTGGCCCCCCCCATTCCTGGCTGATTCCTGACGGCCCCGTGGGCAGTGTCCCCTGCACCAGCTGCCCAGCTGCCCAGCCAAGGATAAGGAAGGCTTATGAGTAAGACATAAGCTTCCCTTACCCTACTATGGTGGGACCAAGTCAAGATGATCCTTTCTTGAGTTTTCGAGGAAACTAGGTCTAGGAAACAATGCCCCCACCTGTCTGAGAGTGAAGGCTGGTCACGTTGTTAGTAAAAATTACAGGACACCAGTGTTTCAGACTAAACTCCTGCTCTGGACCCAACAGACCAGACCAGAATGAGTCCTTCATGATACAATACCACATCATTAAACCGGAACTTTAAAGAAACTGACAGATCCTGACATAGACCAGTGTTTGCTGAAAATGAGATCCAGTCCACCCGAGTCAGCACTGTTAGGAAATAAAACTTGGGCATGTCTTGTGCTTTTCTTAGGAATGTGCCCCTGAAATAGCTCCAGAAGCCACCCAGACTCCTTGGACTTTCTGTTTTATGAACATCCTTGTTGCCCGATACATTTACTCCTTTCTCTTCCAGACTCCTGTCCCCACCACTTAAGATTTGAGCACAGCGATTCCAGGTGACCATGAGGTCACCCTGCTCCTTTATCACAGAATGATCCAATCATTGCTGTCTAAGACTCCTCGCCATTCCCCACTCCCATTCGGGACTCTTGCCTGTGAAATCATCCTGAAATCTGTAAGATCTCAGCACACAGTTATTTGGATTTTGTGGCCCAAATAAACTCTCTGGCTTTACTTGCTTTGCATCAGCCTTCCATTTTAAGTTGACAATGTTCAGTGACAACTCCCTCACCCCCCCGCACACACACCGAACAAGGCCACCTCCCACTGTCTCCTCACCCTGGGCCAGCACTGACACTCCACGTGGTGGATACCGTAATGGCAATGGGGAAGGGGTTGCCTATCTTCAGGCCTTGGCCAGTCTCCTTCCTATCCTAGGTGTATCCTGGCCTTTCATGGCTCTCAGGTGTCACTAATACCTTTCTGCTCTACCCCCACAGCCTCTGCCAGTCCCCCTCAGTCCTCTACAGCCTTCTCTTGGCCCGGGAAGGTGTGGGTGGCCTCCTGAGCTCTTCCAAGGCCCACAGGAAGCTTAGGGCTATCTGTCCATGCTTGGCTGGCCCCAAACACCTCTATATGCCATCATTTATGTGAAGTTATTGGCCAACAGACCTGCAGAAGGGACCAGAAAAGATAAATGAACTTTGTCCTGGGACCCCTAAATAAAAAGAAGCTTGATCCATCCCTGCTGCTCCATCTGTAGCCAAGACGCTCTCCACAACTGGCTCTCTTGATTCTCTCCCCTAACCACGCTCTGCTTCTCTTTCTTTCCAGAATCTTCTATACTAACAGAAGGACTGAGAGAAGTAGGAAATAGTCGTGTCCAAATAGTCTCCTTTTCTTTCTTGATTCTTCTGTCTCGTACCTTTGGGATTTGGAAATCAAGAATTCAGCTGGTCCTTGGGTTCTTCTAAGATCACCAAACACTGGGTGATTTCGGCGGGGCTAGCTGGGTGATAGGAACAGGTCCTTGTGGTATAATGAGCATCAGAAGGGAAGCACACAGTGAAGGTGCCTAGCATCATCCCACCACATCGAAATTCATGTGGCAGGATCTCCTCTACTAGAACTCAGGCTAGGGTTTCCTTCCTCCAAGCAGGGCCTCCTACCCTTAGCCCCTGGTGTTCATGGTGTCCTGGCGGACCAGCTGGACCCTGGAAGGCCGGTGGGCCATTATATCTGTGCGGAATTCCTTGATGACAAAGTAGTAGCAGAAAACATCCAGGCAGCAATTGGCATTGGAGAAACACAGGGTCAAGTGCGAGAATAAGCTGATGCTCTTCTTGGCTCTGCACTCGACAATGAAGTCGTTCCTCACCAAGTACTGCAGGAAGAAGCCCAGGTGGACCGGGAGGAAGGAGACCACGAAGACAGCCAGGCTGGCCGCAATGGTCCGGATGCAGGCTCTCTGCTGGACCCAGTCCTGGGTGTGGTCCCTGCGGCTGAGAAGAATGTGGATGCTCCGGGAGGAGCAGAAACTGATGACGCCCATGGGAAGGAGGAAGCCAAACACCTCCAAGGGGAAGATGACCTGGGGACTCCAGGTGCTGTCGGACATGTTGTGGAAGCACTTGTAGCTTTTCCCTTCCTCGTGGAAGTTGTAGATGGGGATGCTCCCGACCCACACCAGGACCCAGATGGCACAGCAGATGCCAAAGATCTTCCTGGGGGACCGGAGGTGGCTGACCAGGAGCGGGTAGCGGATGGCCAGGAACCTATCCAGGCTGATGAAGCAGATGGTGAAGACACTGCCATACATGCTGATGAAGTAGAGGCACTCGACCAACGTGCAGATGGAGGGGGAAGGCGACTGCACCTGGTCCAGGGCCATCTTGAATGGCAGGGAGAGCACCAGCAGCAGGTCGAAGACCGCCAGGTTGATCATGTAGACGGACGTGGCGGCGTAGTCCGGCCGCCTCTTGCACAGGAAGGGGCTGAAGCTGCGGGGGGGCCGGC